AAAAACTGCTGTGTATTTTATTTAACCAGAAGCCAGCCTTTTATAGGCTTTACATAAAACAGAAAAAGGCTAAAAAGTAGGAAAGACCTAAGAAACAGTAAAAAGGAATCAACAGCTAACCCTCTAAAGATTTTCCTTTATTCTAGCACTCAACTTTGAATTAGAGACTTAGTCTTCAATACTTATCACCACCAAGTCCTAATATAATCTCTTGATGACCTTCTTCGCTTTAGCTTGTTAGAACTTATGCCTATTGTTGGCTAATTCTAAACGACGCATTACAAACTTGACCCAATGTTGGCTAAATGTTTTATCAGTGTTTATATATTATCAAATCTTCATTCGATTTGGGGCTCAACAAATTCATAATCAAAACCTTAACTCAAACCCAAAATTAAAATCAAACTCAAGCCTACATCACATATTACCCGATGAATCAACAAATCATAATCGGACCAGAAATTAATAAAGATTGTTGATGTTCATCGAGGCTTGTTTGCAAAAGTCATCGAGGTTTGTTTTTGAAAATCAGCATGGTTTATTGGTGTTCAATGAACCAAAGTTGAAGTCTACACCTCAATGCGGGGTTCATCGAACCAAAAATTGAGACCGTCGGCGAAGGAGCTTAATGAGCATCATCAAAGAAACTTGACGTAGGAGTCTTGGGGACAAGGCAATCACGACCTCACGAGATATGAGAGAGGAGAGAGAGTGGGTGAGGGAGAGAGGATAGAAGAGAGAAAGATAGATGAATTCAGGGTTTTGTTCGGTTTCTTTCTAAAGTGATGACTTTGACTTCAAAACATAAGGATTAGTGGGAGGGATCAGAAAATTGAGCATTTCTAAATGAAAACCACAAGGGCAAATTTGCAATAAAAACTGCAAGGAGTTAAAACAAAAAAATTGGTAAAAAACAGGGTTAATTAAACCGAAAGTTATTGGTTATAAAATATTACTAACAGTTACGGTGATCGTTCCTTCTAGAGAAAGATGCTTTTCGAAATTTAAAATTAGTATAAGTGTATCATCATATTCTAATCAACAATGTCACAAGTTCGATTAAATGGATTAGCTAGCTATATTATATATCGACAACTTTTCATTATAATGAATTTTATTATAAAAATATAATCAATCAAATTACCTCTCAAAAAGCAAGAAAAATAGACATCCAATATATTATTAAAAAAATAGATCTATTTTAAACGTTTCAGAAGCCTATTTTAATTTTCAGATGCCCCTTACTATACATAAAGTGTCTTGGATTATGGTGTCGATTGATTAGACTTGGACTACTTCTGGTTCAATGGAACCTCTTTTTTTAAAGATTATTTTGTACTATAATTTATTGAGTTTCACATATATTCCGGACATGATATTAGCCAAGAAGGTTTAGCTATCGATACTCTAGTAATTTCACGTATATTCCCATAATATAAGCCAAGGTCTAGCTATCACTCAAGAGACTACTTGACACTTAAACAAGGCTCTTTAGAAAAGTAATATTCTAATTGGGTTTTATAAATTTTTACGTGGTATCAAAACCAACAACTGTCACTCTATAGACTTTGACAGTACTGTAGGACAATATGTACTCATCTAGCCCCTCTTAACACTCTGAGACAATATGTGTTCGTTTAACCTCTATTTGATGGAGTGTGTTGGATCTTTATCGCCTAATTAACCTATAAAAATTGTCCCTCACTTTCGATCAACTTCATATGTTATCACAAAATTCTATCAAGATAAAACGACAGGCATAAGGAATACATATCTTGAACTCACTCATGGCGTTAATTGTTGGTAGTTTTATTAGAGTGTCTTCTGTGCGTTTAGGCTTGTAGCAACAATTGGACTTCTGACTACTATCGTTCCTGTACTCTCTATCCAACTCAAGAAACCATGCACCACTTCATCTTTCAATATATTAGGGCCTTCTATTCTTAACTTGTAGCTTTGCTTCTCATTCTTTGAACGGAAAGTCAGTTTCTCCGGCGAGACACTGACATTTATCCCACTAATCGCCGTCAGTTTTGCCGTGAATGTCGAACTTCCATCCCCGACGTAAGTCACTGTTCTCTTAAAGACATGAACAACTTTAGCCGTCGACTTCGTGTCATTCCCATTGAAATAGGCAATGAAAGAGGGGTAGTTTATGTCCAACGATGGGTTGCTGCAATTGAAGGTTGAAGATCTTGTGATTGTATGAATTTGAGACTTGGTAAAATTTAAACCACAGAGAAGATTGACATAATCTTCCATTTTGATGTCGTATATGAGTCCAGGGTTCAAGGCTTTGTTTGGTGAAACATGGCCAGAACCCATGGACAAAGGAGTTGCTGGATTGTCGTTATCGCCAATATCTTGGATGGGATTTAACGTGTTGTCCAGAATCTCCGATGTAGTCATCATAGCCGATCGGATGGCTGACGGACTCCACTCTGGGTGAGCTGCTTTAAGTAGGGCAGCCACCCCACTGGCGTGAGGACATGACATAGAAGTGCCCGATAGTAAATTAAATTTACTATAAAGTTGTTCCTGTCCTTTCTGAATATAAGCCGACGGTACGCTATCAGGCCAGGCCGCCAATATCCGTGAACCAGGAGCCGTGAGGTCAGGTTTCAAAACCACCGGACAAGCATATGAAGGACCTCGTGAGCTATAGCTAGCCACCCTTGGTGCTGGCTTTGTCATGAGACGAGTCCCATGGAACTTCATACTTGCTTTGGCTTCACCATTATCGAGTTTTTTAATATAATCTGTGACTATTTTACCCGACTGTAGATCCAAAAACAAGACTGGATATGAGCTTTGCATGTAGAGCTCTACATCAGTGTCATTTGTTATGAAAATAGCCCCCGAAGCATTTGAACTTCTAACCATAAATAACTGTTGTCTCAGTTTGCCATTATTGTCGAAACACACAACAATCTTTCTTTCAAGTTTATTAGCTTCCATCTTCTTCTCACAAGCTCCAATGAAAACCATCGGGGCCGGGTTCGAACTTGAATTTCCTGGATAAAGAGCGAAACCTGTGACGGAAAGTCCATTGCCAAGAGTTAATATCCCGGTGAATTCACGATCCATTGTACCGGCGGCAACAGTGAGAACCCATGGTGTTCCATTGTGGAGTGACCTTAAATGAGGTCCATGGTTTCCGGCAGATGTGGATACGAAAATACCCTTCTCCATGGCTGCAAAAGTGGCTATCGCAATGGGGTCTTGGTGTAATGCAATACCATCTACTCCAAGGGACAAGGAAAGTACATCAACCCCATCCATGATTGCTTGATCAATGGCAGCAAGAATATCAGAAAGAAAAACACCTTCTTCCCAAATAGCTTTGTACATGGCTATTCTAGCATTTGGAGCCACACCAGTCGCGGTTCCAGTTCCATATCCAAAGTACGTTGCATGTCTCACGCAACGCCCAGCTGCAGTTGATGAAGTATGAGTTCCATGGCCCTCTGTGTCACGAGCAGAATTCATCGAAAGAGTTGAGTTTGGGAGGTTCGAGACAAGGCCTTTGTTGAAATAACGAGCACCAATGAGTTTCTTGTTGCATAAAGAAGAATTGAATTGAACGCCTGCTTCGCATTCACCCTTCCATCTGGTCGGAACTGCACCCATTCCATCGTCGTTGAAGCTCTCACTCTCCGGCCAAACTCCAGTGTCCACRAGCCCAATGATAACATCCTTCCCATAGCCTGCAACCGGCCATGCACCGGATTTTGAACTCAGTCCGAGAAATTGAGTGGAGTGAGTTGTGTCGAGCTGAACWKTAGCATCTTTAATCGAAGAGAGATAKCCTGGTGAGTTTTTAACAATTTCAAGCTCTGATGGAGAAAGAGTTGCAGTAAAGCCATGAATAGCATTTTTGTAGCTATAAACAAGTTTCGAGGAAGAAGAGGTGGAAATGGCGGTGGTTGTGACGGCGGCAATGGAGTCAAGGGTGGCAGTGAACCAGCTATGGTGGCTAGAAAAGGATTTGGGCATGGCGGATAAGTCCATGTAGACAATGTAAGTTTCAGAATTTGCTAAAACGAGAAGTGAATTGGATATGGAGAGAGAAAGGAGGCAGACATACAAGATGTGGTTCGCCATTGGGAATGAATCTGTCACTTACCATAGGTTTGATCTGTGATTTATAGTGTCATTCACACTTGTGTGCAGCTCACTTATCAAGTTTCTTACTTCTTTACTTGGTCAAAATGTCAAAAATATTCTTAGCTTCAAATCTAAGGAAGAATAAAAATCATCTTGTGGTCACGGAAGTTCAAATGCGATGACTCCGGGTTATCTGCAAAGTAGGTGGTCGTCCTAAGATTAGTAGGCTCGCATGGCGGGTTGGATATACAGGTTAATAATATATATATATATATATATATATATATATATATATATTCGATGAAGAACCTTTCAACGACTTCCCTATTTCAATCAGTTTTGGAGGCATATGTGGAAGAAACGAATGGTTAGATTTGGTAGGAAAAATATGTTAAAAAAATATATATATTTAAATTAAAATAATATTTAATATTAATGTGATGTTTGATTTGGAAAATAAGAAATGAGATGGGACCTATCACCAAGGTATAAGGTAGGGTGTGCAATTGCCCCGCTCTTTCCTCTTGAAATAATAGGAAAGAGATTAGAAGTTATATCCGCTTTAAATAAATGTGGGTATGATTTTTTTAATGTTTTAAATGCAATTCATTGTATTTGTATAAAAAATACAATTTAATCAATTGAAATATTTATGAAAATGACGACAGTTTATTTATTATGATTTGAATATTTATGAAAGATGACTATGATTTATTAATTATGATCAATACTTTATATTATAAAACAATCAGAACTTTTATGAAATCATATATTCATCAAATTAAATGGACGATTGAGATATTGGCCGTACAAATGTAAAGTGTTGCATAATAACTCTCTCTGTCTCTCTCTCTCACACACACACACGCACATATAAGCCTTGCAAGTTACGGTCGAGGTAATGGTGTTTTTCAAGGCATGGCTTAAGACGACAAATCTATATTATATATACGTGTGTGTGTGTGTGTGTGTTTATTTCAGTGTGTTGAGCAATAATGATTAGGTTATTAACAATTTAAATTCATAAACGATAATTAAAAGAATAACCATGAATTGATAATTTGATATTTACAGAGTTTACAAAAATGATATGAAATATACATAGTAAGTCACTATTTATATATAGTCCGTGTTTGATAATCAAACAACAAAATCAAAGTAATGAAGTCAAAAAAACAACAAATGAAAGTAATCAAACAATATTTTTCGTATGCTGAGAATTAATTTAGGGTCTTTTCTTTTTTCCCATTTTATTGATTAAGTATTTGGTCCATAAAAATTGCAAATTTCCTCCCACATCCATAACGCACCATGACCGGACATGTAACGGGCTCCACTATTTAAGAATTATATTTAAAAAAATGACTATAAAATAAATTGGAGTCAAGATTGGTTGTTTTTATTAAGAGACTTGTGTATTATAAGTTAGCTAAGTTGGCCCCACAAATGTATTTAATTATATTCGTGCATGATGCAAACCGTTTTGCCAATTTCCCCGTCCTTTTTGTGTGGAAAAAATATTTAAAAGTTTGTTTATCTCTTAATTGTTTTATTAAGAAGCAGTATTTGAATCGTTAAGATGTGAATTTTGTTTGGCAAAAGAAAAGTTCGCATCTTAATGGTTCTAAAATTCTCTGAATGATTTTACATCATGGGCATCCCTTAATTATTCAGCGCCCTAATTTCATCATAAACAATGATAACAATTATATTTCATTTTGCACTATATCATTAGAGGTTTTTAATCATTCTGAACATTTAATCATTCTGTACTAAACCATTCATCAACTACCAAACAATCTCTTAGAGAAAATGCACCTATGGCTATGCCTACCATGTATCCCTTGAAATATGGAGAGACTGGAAATTCAAATACAAACTCATATCATTTATATAAACTCGTTTAATTAACATTTGTTTTTATAAATATTTCGATTGTTTTTCAATAACAAATATTAATCATAATTAATGAATTCTAATCACCTTCTATAAATATTCAATTCATAATAAATAAATTGTCATCATTTTTATAAATATCTCAATTGATTAATCTGTATTATTTGTATCTCTCTCCATCTCTCTCTCTCTCTCTCTATATATATATATATATATACACACACACACACGTAGACCTTTTGGAACTCTCTAAAAACTTTGAGAATTAGTGCATCATATGTGCTATTTAATATGATTTTTTTCATTTATGACAAGAATTTAATTAATGATTTGCATATATTTGTTTCACGTGTACTTGGTTTACAATGCGAACCTTTTTGCCGTGTTTGTGAAACAAAAAGAGCACTTAAAAAGTTTCACATTATGAATCGGATATTATACGAGATTTTAGGGTTTCTCATTTGATTCTTCATACTATATRAAATTTTACAATCTACAAATCAAATTACATCTCATTTATCTAAATATCATATGTGAAATATCACAGGTGATATCCACAATCAATCCATAATTTTTTCACCATTTTTCTTATGATCCACGTTTTAGAGCACATGTATCATTTAATTTAGCATATGATCAACTACATGAATTTTTGTATCACATGTGATATATGCATGCGGGCACAAGTTACGGATTATCACATATGATAATATTTTATCACGATAAGAATCTATAAATATAAATATACACAATCACATATGATTAACAAAAGTATCAACAATTATCGCATATGATTGACACCATCATCAAACAAATTATTATGTGTGATAGAAACTTATAATCAAACTGTTACAATTTTATCATTGTGATGAAATCGGTTTATTAATAAATATTAGACATCGGTTTGAAAAGCAAACTCAATCGGTTTATTAATGAATATTCTCCTGCTTTCTCTCTCTCTCTCTATAGTGACATGTGAGAAGAGGAAAGGGAAGTGATACGATAATTGATGGTGGATCGACCATCATAACTAGGACCAGCAACGTTGGTCCAATGAGAGCCAAACAAAAGATAAATGGTCTTGATTGCCATTTAACGGTATATATGTAATATCTCAAATGTGGTCATATTAGCACCGACACCGAGTATTATTAATAGGCCGTTCATTAGCATGTTAAAATTTGATTTTTGAATAGGGCCTCCAAAATTTTGGAGCGCAATTTTGTATGCCTTAGGACCCGGATTTATATAGTTCAACATGTGAACCTACTTCAATAAAGATTTATTTAATTTCTTTCAAAACCAAAAGCGATTATTTAATCTCGAAATTTACTGATTAAAAACAAAAACGACTTTTAATATTCTTTTTACTTTGTTGTTTTAAATTTTGAAATTTTCAATATGATTTGAAATTTTATATTTTATTTTATCTATTACTTATTTCAAACAATATATAGTTTTTAAAACTATAATGAAAACAAGTTTTATTTGGTAGAGTGGTTTGTAAGGCTTTAATTCCACCTCAGACCCAAGTTGGAATCGTGTTAGTGTCATTGTCTTAATCAAATGGTGCCACAGATTGAAAAAAAAAATTGTATATTTGTTTCTTATAGTCAAACGGTGTCACTTTTTGAAATTTTTTCTCTATAATTTTTTTCTTATAGTCAAATGGTGTCACCGTTTAAGAAAATTTATGAGTCCGTCTCTGGCTTAATATCTTTTCCCAAAAAACGAACATGAGTTTATCATTTGCTGGATGTTGTATAGATTGACAAAATAACACTTCCGATTTCAATATGGATGAGTATATATCGAATGTATTGAGTTAAGAAACTAGAAAAGAAATATGTCGTTAATTTGTTTGTGATGTGTTTTAAATTAACAAAATATACGTTAATATGTGTTTTATATATATATATATATATATATATATAGGGTATATTTCTTTTACAACCCTCCCTATTTATACAACCCATGCAACCTCCCTCTCAACCAATCAATGAATTTTGTTTGTTTTAATTTATTTTTTAAATGAAAAGGTTAATATTTTCATTTGCTAATTTTATATAATAATTATTATTTTTAAATAATATCAATAAATATCCTATTAATTATGAATCCATATATTTTCTATTAATAACTGAAACTGATATGGTAATTAAAA